ACAAGCCTGTTCTACCCTAACCCGAAATCACATTTAACCCTACCAAAGGCCCTGTAAACAGACTCTTCAGCCATGGGGGTAGGTTGCATTGGGCTTATGCCTGGAGATCCGCACTTAGGGGGATACCCATTGAGTTAAAATTAGGGTCATAATATTGGGATAATGGAAAATAAAATGGAAACTACTATTTAAGGTTTAGGATACCAATGCCCTGCTGCAGCAAAGCTTCCTTTGATTCGGGCTCAGGGTTTCAGCCCTTTGGGCTCAGAATTTGAAACTGCTAGCGCTTGGCGCAGCGCCCAAGTTCGAGAGCTGGAAACGTCTGCAACAGAAACCATAGCTGCAGGACCGAAGCAGCAGAGTGCATTGGATGCTTTTATCGCTGCTCAAGGATCGAAAGATGCAAAAATCCAGGTAGCTGGGCTCCATAGTTTGGGATGTCATTGTCAAATCACGGGTGCATTGGGATTCGGAGTCAGGAAACACTACGTACCCCTAAACAGCCGACATCAACTTTCGACTTGTTTGTCTTCTCACCTTGTGAAGGCAAGGCATGCTGGCAAGTATCTTGGGGTCCCATTATGAATGGGGTCCACCTACCCTGCCCCAAACTAACATGAAATCCCATATAACCCTTTTTTCACAGGACAATCATCTTTGTAAGACCCTATCATGGTTCCATAGTAGTCTTAGGGGAGGGGGTGGCCTACAAAGGTCTGAGGACGCTGCCATGAAGGTCAGGAGCTTTGGCATTAGCTCGGGTAGGAGAAGTCTGGCCTTTCAAAGACAAGGTCGCTGGAGCACAGGATTATAGGTTGGGTCAATCCCCCACCCAGTACTGGGTAACGCAAAGGACTATTGTAGGTAAAAGGGGGCCCTATTAACTCCATGTCAAGGAGCTCTTGCTATAGAGCGGATTGATCTAAATGATGAGGTCTATACCCCTAGAAATATTGAAGCCCACTGCAAGCATCAGCATCCTACCAAACCAGCAAGACTGAGGGAAAGGTCGAGGACTTGGGCAACTTGTAAGAAGAATGTCCCGCCAATTGGTCACAAGCTTTGCGAGACTTACCAGCAAGGGATCTTGCACAGCAAGCCATGCACGGTTTGGGAAGCACTCACGTAGCCCGGAAGAGCAACGAAAGACGAGATCAGCACCGGTAACAGACATGCACTCAACACGACAACAGCCCTTGTCCGCCACTCGAAATGCCAAGGCCTGGTGGATCACCTTCATGCCATTCCTGAGTCGCTGCTGGTTCAAGCAGGTCGCAGATGAATGCAGCGGCAACTCTGCGCTGGTGAGGCATTCTGCGCGCAGATCTGAAGCGCATGCCCTGTACCAGAAGCCTATATCTACACATGGGCCACTTCGAAGACCACGGTTTCAATGCTGCTGCCCAAATTGCTGCAATTGAAGTACTCGAGGAGGAAGAGCCCTACAGTACAAATGAGACGAAGCCCTAAATCCGAGTCCCATACGCAGCAAGCCCTCAGCTGCCTTTGACTCCCAGCCCCCTGAACAAACCTATAAAATCTATTGGTGCTTGATGAGGATTACATCGGGAATGAGGCAACCGGAAACTGGCCATCTCCAGACCTACACCAGCAAGCTCCAAACTAGCCCTAAGTCTCTTCTCTGTCCAGTGTCTGGTCTGGATGACAGCTGGCGAGGGGATCCTTGGGCATCGGGCCGAGGTCCTCGCAGGCAGCAGCCCATCATGACCAAGGATAAGTGATGATAGCAAAGAATTTTCAGAGTAGCAATCACAACACAGGTGGCATAATGACAAATTCCAGCAAAACTAGTGCGGCGCAGAAAATAATTGGAATCGCAATAGTGTCTCTATAGCGATGCGCCACAAAGCGTGTAAAGTGGCATCAGGTAGAACATTTAATAGTCAGCAAGACTCTGGACACTTCCCCAAATCAAGATTATATCAGGGTTATACTGGGGTTATATACGATTACGGTTATATCGGGGTTAGGGTTATATTGGGTTATCTTGGGATAAGGGAAAATAATATGGAAATTACTGTTTAGGGTTGCACCAGCAAACACTGTTATAAGTGCCGAGGAGTCCCTGAGGCAGCCTGGAGAAGAGGCCTCGACTTACTGCGGGCTAGGAAGGTATAATGGAATATACTATAAAGGGGTTATATAGGGATTGTATTCCCTTTTCCCCACCAACCACCAGCAAGTCTATGGGCTTGATAAAAAAACCTGAATTTGAGCGGCTGGAGCGCTTCTTGTTAGGATGTACACTGCCTCAACGAACATGGGACCTTAAAGAAGGCCTGTAAGTGCCAAGTTTTTTGGGGAGGGCACGGTGTCCCAAAATAACTTTCTGAAGCACATCTTCGCGAAATGTCTTCACCAGCCGACGGACAAGAGTCAGCAATTTATTCATGAGCAAGTCCGCACTTCATTGGGCATTCGGTGCTGGATTCAAGCTGGGAGACCGGGAGGCAGGCACATCAAACTTTTCCTTAGCTTTTCGAGACCTGGCCTGCTGATTACTGCACCAACTGCCATCATCCGGAATGTTGAACCTCCTATTGCGCCCAGCTTTTTAAGTAGCGGGGAGTGCAGCAAGAAAGACGAGCTACTGCTGCGGCAGAACAAATGCACTCCCTTCCCCGTCGAACCAGAAATCGCACACGAAAGCCGCAAGCAAGAACTGCCACCTAATGCAGCCAAGGAAAGCTGCCAAACGATCAAATACGTCAAGGCCGTGAGCAATGTTATCATCATCACTCACCACAGAGGAACATGAGGAAAACCAACGCGATTGTTCTCAGCACCGCACAAATCCGAACGCGTCATTTTGAATTTTGATATCCAGCAATAATCCAATACCAGGCTTTATCACTTACCACCACAATATACCAATGATAATCCCCTCCTTCTCCAGTAGAAACAACAACCACCCCACCCCCTGACAAGAGGTCTGGTACCTACCGTGCCTCTGTGAGGACAGTGTCATCCCAGGTGGGCAGCTGCCGCCAGCTCCTTCTGTCGAATGCACAGAGCCCCTACACAAACCTGCACATTGATGAGGCTGAATGCTTGTTGTCATTCGCATAGTTCCTGCTTACTGCAATGTTCTATGACGATGTTGTCAATGGGCGGGGGAGGGAAGGCTGATAAGTCGATAAGTAGCGACGCGGGTGCCTTGACTGTAGAACTTATGTTTCGGAGGTGCCTGCTCATCAATCCGCACACACACACACAGAAAGATCATGCCAAACGCCCAAATGCCCTAGCCTGGGAAACTTGCCCAGCTCTTGTGCACGTCATGCATGTCAGCCCCATGCCAGGCCCATAATTCATTCTGTGCCATGGCTTTCTTTCACCTGCATGCTGCACGCAGTGCTACTGAGCAAAAGTCACCCCCTGAAAACAGTGGCCAAAGGCAACCATGCGCTACATGACAACAACGGCCGTAGCAATGAAAAGGGGAAGCCAAAAGTCCAGCAGACCCCACGCTTTGCAGACCTACACATCCTCACAGCTCCCAGGTCCAGAATGAACGCAGCCTAAGCGTCGAACCGTAAATCCTGAACTCTGAACAAAGCCACAAACATGACAACAAGAATTCAAACTGTACCCTAAACTCAAAAGCTCCGAAGCTTCAGACACTGGCTGAGCTCCTTATGCGCGCGGCACGGCTCTGTGGCACTGTTCCAACGTCAACGTCGAATCTTGATGTGTAAGCTTAGGTATATGGTTGGGGACCGGGGGTTTGGCTACCACCATAGGTCCTCTTCAATATCGGTGCTATTGTTACGATTGCACTCACTGTGCATTCATGTCCAGCACAGTTCGTCAAGGTTTGCGGCTGCCGGCGTACAGACCACTCAGTCACTGCAGGATGGTAAACAAAGTAAGCTTGGAATACATTGGCTCTATGCCTACCAGAGTAGCATCACCTAGAACACAGCACCGTGCTCTGGACATTGATTGGTGTTTTAACACTCCCAGCCCTAAACCCCAAACCCCCAACCTAAGGGCCTGGCGGACGGTAGGACTGCAATCTCCGCTCCTCTTCCTCACTGGTCCATATAAACGGATTAGGTACCAAGACCCTGCTAGTACCCTTACGTAGTGGTATATGGTCCCTAATTTAATAGAGGGCCGGGGTATATTGCGAAATGTGGGGATTTGTAGGCTTTAAGGGGAATTGAAATTATTAGGTTTAGGAACAATGCAGAATACCCCGCTTGCTCGTTACGGCATGCAGGAAAACTGTAAAGGTTAGGGTTTGGGCAATCAAGGAATGGAGAAGGACATGGAAACCGCTAGGACGACCTAGAGGACAGGTCCAACACAGACAAATCTCCATTCCCTAAACCCTAAACCCCAAGCCCCAAACCTTAAACCCTAAACTCCCTAGTCACCACCAAGCAGCTTCAGGGGGAGGGCCATCTTCCGGCATGTCCTCATCGTGCGCCTGCACAGCCCAGCACATGTTATCTGCTATCCCGTATTTAGGGTTTAGGAGGATTTAGGGTTTAGGCTATCCCTGCGTACATGTCTTAGCATCACATGAGCAACAGGATGCTTATCTGCGCCCAATACTTTCTGGAATTGTCTTCCTGGTTCTTAGTAGGGAATAAAGGAATATAATGCCTAGATAATACCTATAAAATATATAATATATACTCCCTGATTCCTTAATTACTAAGAACCAGAAAGAAGTTGGCTGTGGCAGGCTTCTAGGCTGGCTCCGATCCACGAATCACCTCGTTTGTTTCATCTGCGTCTCCGGTCCTTCTCGTCGTTCCCTTCGACGGTGTCTCCATACTTCCCATGCTCCGTTCCCGAAGCACTATAGCCCCCAAATAAGCTGTTTCCATTTCCTTCTTTGCCCTTAACCTGTGATTCCATGATATATAGATATATAGTATGCACACACATCTATATATATATATATATGTATGTGTCAGTCTGTTGGTATGTACCATAATATATCCCTGATCTTGGTCTTGCTCCACTCAGCTTGGTGGGTTCACTGCCTCAAACCTGGCCACTGCTTTCTTCATGTTCTCCTCGCTGTTGAACAGGGCCAAGTACTGCCGCACGAAGAGCTCATTCCCAAAGTCGTAGACTTTCAGGCTGTTAGTGGCGATGTAGGTTGCCAATGACTTCTCTTCATCCGTCCAGTCCAGCTTTTCGTCAGAATTGTCTTTGTCCTTCGGAATGCTGCGCCCGACCCTCCCGATCTCCTCGGCTGTTAAGCCGTACAGCTTGCCAAGGCTGACGAGCGACTCGTTCATGCGCTCGGTGATTCCGACGAGGTCAAACTGCGTGGACAGCGTGATCTTTGCCTTGTCCACAGAGCCTTGACCAAGCCAGGTCTCATATTCGCAGCAGGACCGGTTCAGAATCGAGAATGTTTCCGCAGGCTTTGGCATGTGCTTCTGGGCCTCAAAGCCCTCCATTGTCCAATTTCCTGCCACATAATCCCGCCGGAACTCCAGGAAAGCCAAAAAAGTGGTGTGATTGCCCTCAAAGTTCCGGTAATAATAATACGAGCGAATCTTCTCTACAGGATCGCGCAATATGGTCGTGACTAAGATCCGCTTGTTTTGGAGGTAGAGCATGTTCATTGGCAGCCACGCACGTGCCCACTCTACACGCCAGTACAGCTGGAACCTCTTGCTGTCGGGCCACAGATTCTGCACTCCCGCGAGGTCGGAGTAGTTGGCAACTGTCAGGTTTTGATCTAGCGTCGCCTGATACATCACGCCAAGGCTTCCGTGGAAGGTGCAGGTTGTCGGGCGCGTGTGGCAGAACGCAGCAATGGTCTCCGCGCGACAGGGCTGGTGTTCCAAGGCTGTACGAGTACCGTCCTGCTCACACGGCCAAGCTGGATTGCCACAGTTGCCACTGCAGAAACGGTTCTGACCAGTCATGGTATCCACGTAGTCTCGCCATGTACTACCTGCAACCTTATGGAACTTGACGAAGAGCGAGAAGGTTTTCACTTCCGGGGATGTCACCGCTTCCGTCGCTGCCAAATGGCTGTCCTCCAGACGGAGGCCATGCTGCAGGAAACTGGACTCAGAAGGCTCATCCTGCCTATCGCAGGCAGATCTGGCCTCCCATGCCTCCCCTGACCAGGCCAGGGCCAGGAATCCGAGGAGACGTGCCATGGATGCGATCCGAGGAGGGCTCTCGGAGGTCGTTTGCTAAGAGGGGTTTCGGTAAAGCTATATGGCTTGAGCCGTAGCCATTTATCATGGATTTTGAGTCGGCCCCTGGATTGCACCGTGGGGGGCTGCAGTACATGCAGAAGGGGGTGTGTATGGATTATATATATATATAACTGTTGGATCCCAAGCATTTGAAACTAGAGAAGGGCTTCTTTTGCAAATGCACAGTCTGCTCTCCTCTGCGGGCAAATATACGGGGTCCTGCCTCGCCGGTCGCTTCGGCCTCCTCCTCCTGCCCCACAACTCTTAAGGACTGCCTTCTAAGGCTTACAGACCGTCTACCAGGGGGCGACATACATTGCTTTCAACGTTATAGTTTGGGGAAAGGTAGAATGACAGGGAAAGGTCATGACAACGACGGTTTGAACGTGCTGCACTGACATTGCGAAGGCCCATTCTAAAGTATTTAACTCCTACACTTCCACCCGGAATATTAAATTAGCGGTAAAGCCATCACCTAGTTCTCTGCAGGTGAATGTCCTCAACATTCTAAGAAACATGCGGTACTAGGAAGGGTTGGAGGAGTCGGAGCAGCAGCAGCCGCAGCAGCCACTGCTGCAAAACCGCCAAGGAATAAAACCTGGTCATGCCTCTCGGTCCATGACGTCGGCGGCAATGCCAAACGCCTCTGCATCTTCCTTCGGGTACTGCAAGCATCATGAAGACTGCAAAGAATGGCTGGCTAAATCACTGGTCTGGCAAAATGCTCAGGTGCTGAGTGGGCAAAGGGCGTGTCGAATATCAACAAGTGAGCTATAGTCTCGACTCCTTGTACCCCCGTTAACAAGCCCTATAGTACTCCGCTACATAATCCCCAATGTAACCCCTTTTAAGGAGTACCGCCAGACCAACCCTAAAGGCTACTCTGCTCCCTGCCCCCTTCATGAGATACACAAGCTCGTAAGGTCTTGACATTGCAATATGCTATAATATCCTGACATTATCCATATTCTTCACTACAGTCACTACAGTATGCAATAATGTGCTCACATTATCTCTCTAAGCCTTCAACCCTTACTATTCCTGGCGTTGCTTCTATGGCTCTTGCTGTCATCCCGCTTGTGCTCAGGCAGCACGAGTAATAATAGTAATAACTGTATTGTAATGATAGCAATAGCAGTACTTATTATGTTATGGTAATAGCGATAATACTAGTAGCAATAATAGTAATCATAGTAATGGTAGTAATAATAGCCATAATCATGAAGATATCAATGCCAATAATCATCGCAACAAAAATGATAATAAAGGCCTCCAAAGGCATGGCACCGGCGTCGCCTCCCTCGGCCCAGGCCTCGACTCAGGGGCTCTCGCCCCTTGGGGTCTGATTATTGGGGGAACTCGTCCTCATTGGGGTACCTGCCCTAGTGGGGTGCTAAACCTCATTGGGGTACCCTGCCCTAGTTGGGTACTTGTCCTTATTGGGGTTCTCTGCCCTAGTTGGGTACTAGTCCCCATTTCGGTACTCTGCCCTGGTTGGGTACTAGTCCTCATTGGGGTACTCTGCCCTAGTTGGGCACTAGTCCTTGTTGTGGGTACTATGCCCTAGTTGGGTACTTGTCCTTTTTAGGGTACTCTGCCCTAGTTGGGTACTAGTCCCCATTTCGGTACTGTGCCCTGGTTGCGTACTAGTCCTCATTGGAGTACTCTGCCCTAGTTGGGCACTAGTCCTTATTGTGGGTACTCTGCCCTAGTTGGGTACTAGTCCTCATTGGCGTACTCTGCCCTAGTTGGGCAGTAGTCCTCATTGGGGTACTCTGCCCTAGTTGGGTACCAGTCCTTATTGGGGTGCTATGCCCTAGTTGGGCGCTAGTCCTGGTTGGGGCACTCTGCCTTAGTTGCGTACTAATCCTTATTTGGATACTCTGCCTGAGTTGGGTTCTAGTCCTTGCTGGGGTACGTCCTGTAGTTTATTTACACACACACACTGTACTACTATTTCTTATTGGGGTACTATTCCTTAGCTGGGTCCTAATGCATAGTTGGGTGCTATTTCTTGTTGGGGTACTATTCCTTATTGGGGTTTTCGTGAAAATTCAAATGTTATATGCCTTCTGGGGAAGTTCCTTTAGGCTTTACGCAAGCCATGCGCGCGGGCACAAGCATATTCGTGGCTGAGCAATCATTTGCAGCCTAGACCAACTGCGAATGTGCACATCCACAACAACCTCAAGGACGTAGCTGAACACATGGGAGTTGATTGCGGGAGTGCGGGCTTCTGATGTGATATGCGCCCTAAGTCCCAACAAGACCCCTACACAGGTTAGACCACGTTGCAAGGCGAGCCAGGGCACATATTGAGCAGGATGAGCAGGGATAAAGTCGTGCTAAAGACCGAGCCGCTATCTGTGGATCTTGGGTGCTTCGCTGTTGGCTTCTACCCTCGGTCGTCCCATCCCGCTACCCCGAAGTAAGCTGGCAAACTTAGAAGCTCTGCGAACATCCATATCGCGTCCGCTAGACGAACAGTTAAAAGGGAAACGCGGGTAAGCGATCCTCCTGATGGATAAATCAATGCAAAGCCTCATAGGCAGCAGACAAGGAACCCGTGGGCCATGCGTGGGGAAGGGCCCGCCGCGTCCCCCGAACAAAGGAGGCGCTTCAGGGCCTCGGATTCCACCTGCTCAAGTTGTGGCCATCAGGAACATTTCCAACCCGCCCATTCCTACTTTTTTGGAATGTAGCATCTATGCGTCTGTTCCGAATACCACAAACACTCACATGTTGTAGGCACAGAGCTAGTTTAACATCCAGCTGTGACTGCTCCAAAACGGGCTTTGCTTTGCATCATCCCGTTACCAGCCAGCGCACTTGCAGCCCGCTACCGACAGCCGACAATGCGTGCTCATCAGCTTTGCCCACTGCCAACTGTGCGCTGCGGTGCGCTACATGGCTGATAAAACAGTTTTGACAAACAAGGCATCCTTACAAATCCTGGATGATCCTGGGATACATCTCCGCATCAGAAAAGAATTCGCTACAGCATGCTACAGGGCTATTGACAGTGTGTTTCACAATCACACCTACACCTACCTGCTGGGCTCGCAGGTTGACATGACCTTCTGCCCCATAGCTTCCAGACCCCAGCACGTAAACTGGTGTATGTGTGGATCATCCGCCTCGAAGGAATGGGGGAAGCGGAGAGGGATCCGCCTGGCGACCAGGGGATGCTCGGCAGGATGTTCTGGCAAGATGGGTGAAGCAAACTGAGCCGCGTAAGAATCTCTCTGAGATTTCCAGCAGGCAGCTGCAGCTTCGATTCGGTTGCTAGACTAAGCAAGCACATGAGGACACAAGACAATGGATGAGCGGCGCACCGGGTGCATGAGCGAGTCCTCCTTGCACTTTAACATCACTTTGGGACCTGTGCGCGGTACGGCCGTGATGCAGCAAGAAAGACCAAGGCCAGGAATCAACTGACACTATCACCCAAAGAATTGCCCTTGACACGCCGATATCACCAAAACAATGCCCCCTCCCAATTCTAATCTTGAGTGTAGCACCATGACACCGAGACTGGAAACCTCAGCAGTTAAGTGCCGAACAAATGTCCGGGTACTTCGGATTTCCCGGAAAACGCCTTGGATAAGCTGTCAAGCAGGCCAAGCCGACCACTAATCACAAGATAAGATGAATTAAGGGGAAACAGGCTGAAAATGCCTGTTAATACCGCCTGGGTTGGCCCCTCAAACCATTTCAAAAATATTCGTATATAGGGTCCCTCATTAAAGCAATCGAGGAAAATCGTAAATATCCCAGAACCTACCCAGCCGCTGTAGGGGACTGTATGTGTGAAGCAAGCCGAACCAGGCTGCGTTGCTGAGACATACTTGGAGGAGCTCTTGACTTAGTAAGTCTGCCTAGTAACTTGGGTTATAGGGCTTGTCATCCGGGTTATTACAGATTTACTATGTGAAACGATCATCCAAGTAAGGACCTCAAAAGCTTCTTCAAACCGAAATGAACTACATCACCAAGTCGCTGTTGGTACTCGCCCGGCCAGGTACCAGCGGCCAGGCAATCAACTATCAGCGCCTTCGCATGTGGGTTGAAATACTTGGCAGGCTCAGTCTATGGTATAGGTTTGGCCACTTCAGGGGCATGCACATGCAAAACAATGTTGACATATCTCGACCTGATTTGGCAGCGCTTATAGGAAGGTTAGACTTATGCAGCCATAGCCGAGACAAGGAGATGCACAGCGCCTGCTTCCGATTGTGGGGGAGGTCCGCCGGCCTTGATCATCATTGCTGCAATCAACTGTAGGTATGACAAATCACTAGTACAGCAGTAAAAGTCATACTAGTAACAAAGGGTACTCGCAGTTATAAAGAAATTTACATGAATAGCTTACAAACAATTGCGATTTCTTCCGGGCTGCTTAGGGCTTTGTTTCATAGCTTGGGCTGATATACACCTAACCGAGGGACTTGCAGGACCCGACCAAGGAAAACACATGTGCATGCCCCTCAAGACTGAAGAGTGTGCTTCTTTGTCCTTGTGCGCTGCGGAAAACCTTGTGAGCACTGCAGGAATCTCAAGAGATACCTAGCTCATGGCTCACGAATCTTTAGGCTGGGGGAATTTACCTGACGCGTTGGGACTTTGGTGTGCCATCCTCTGCTCAAAGTCGATTTCCAACGGCAGTCCTGCGATGTCTTCATTCCAAAATCTGCCAACATGACTCCGAAAGTCCCAGCATACCCGAACCCATCATCAAAATCTTGCCCAGCTGCCAGCTTAGGGTTTGGAGTTCAAGGCCTGGGTTCAGGACTTAGTGCTTGTAGGAGTTTAGGGACAGATAGGAACCAAGGGTGCTGGCGGGCGGCAGATTTGAGCACTGAACCGGATCGCATGCCTCCAGGTAGGACTCGATGCCTCGCACAGTAACAAAATTGAACAACATGGCGGGATAGACTTACCTCTGGTAGCTGGGAAGGAAGGAAGGGAACCTATAGTAGCCCCCATCTAATCCCAATTAATGTAACAATTTCCGTTTGCATTCCCCTAGGCTTATGTATCCCTAAATCATCCCTATAGAGCCCTAGTTTCGATCTCATTTTCCATTGGTAGTCTTCTCATATAAGCAGCAGCAATAGTGTAGTTTCCATGTTCTTTTCCATTCTCTTCAGGTTCGGCCTTGCAGCTCTTTGATCTATTCTTCTCAATAAAGGCGTGCGTAGTTACAGATCCTACTATAGGGTTTAGTCAGCTAGACTAAAAGTATAAACCCCCATGTAAGCAAAGCTTCCGCTTCATCTTCCAGTCCCTTTCCATATGATTCTCCATTCCTGGGGATGACTATCCCTAAGCCCAACATTAAAAATCTGTAGCCTGCCTCTGCCCGCAGCAGCCATGGATCCTACCCTACACCCTAAGTCCTACCTTCAAAAAAAGGAGGAACCATAAGGCCGGCCTGGGGTGGCGGCTGAAAGCATCGCAATGATGACGACCTGGGGCCGCACCGTACGTACGAATATGGTGGGTTTAGGGATGTTATCCCCAGCACTGAAGAATTGAATGTAAAAGAAAATTGAAAATGAAACGGAAGCTGGGCTTACATAGTGGGGGGGGGCTTTCTAGCAATGGTTTGTTCCTTTTGCTGCTCGGGGGTCCTTACACTCTTATGACTTTGGGGTTCATGAGACCTATCTCAGAGATTGTGGCATGACTGGCGCGGGCATAGATCCCAGTAAGTATCACGTGTGCCATGTGCTTCTTGGTTCCTTTGAACACGTCTAGCACCAAGTAAGTGGATAGAACCTGGGGTGCATTGTGGGGATCCTATTGCGGATCCTTCTATGATTTTTGGCGATTCCACGTTCTATCTACGTCAGGGGGACCTACAGACTGTGACAGTAGACCACGAAGCGAGTGGCCTTCCAATTTGACTCTGAAGCCAACTAATGTTGCACTGCAGTGAATGAAGAGACCTTGAATAATGTGTTTTTGCCTCTGCTTATTCAATTTCAGGCCATTGTTGAGAAGGCCTTGAATAAATATCTCTTGAAGTAGTCCCCAAGGCCGCCGGGGCGCTCAGTACTGTGGGAGCCTTATTGAGGACATCTGATTTCGATTTTTCCTATGTTTCCGGACCCCCTATTGTTAGGGGGGGTTAAAGAATTTAAAGAGAGTGCAACATTGTGCGGCGCGACTTTCACCATTCCCTGTAGACTTTACATAGAAGCCACCGGAAAAAAGGGTCTCAGAATCTTAAGACACGCCCTTTCACGGTGTGTCTTCCACACCCCAAATCCCATGAAACCTACACAGAGCATATCAATCCCCATGTAAGCCCAGCTTCCATGTCATATTCAATGTTCCTTTCCATTTGATTCTCCATTAGCCCAATATTACTACATAGGATCCAACTTACTGGTGGTAAGCAGGGAATTTATATTTGTATATAAGTGGGATTATATAGGGACTATCTTCCATCGTTCCCTACTAACCGACCTCTAGTACAGCAAAAACCCTCAGGATTGGGGCAGTTCTGGGCCAAACCCCCTTGCTCTGACGGCACGCTCAGATGTGGCGCTCTGCGGGGAATTTCCCTGTCATGTGCCGTAAACCAAAAAGAGGCCATTTCCAATTAGGATTGGGACGTGTCAGGTGGGGGGCGGCCCTTGGGTGCTCTGACGGGACTGTCTGGTGGAGAGAGAGCACTTGGCTGGGAGCCGAAAACAAGTCAACTTGGTCGCAACTTCCGCTTGTGTGCCGTAGAACAAAAACAAGCCATTTCTGATTAGGATTGGGCCTCTGGGCCAGCGCCATTTGATGGCTGTGGTGGGGGGGTACCTTTAACTTTGGCCCTCTGATGGGATGCTCTGGACAATGCACTGGCCAGGATGTGCCCAGAAGATGCCTGAGCCCGAGGGCCTCACCCAAATGCGGGTAAGCCGCACTTAACCCTCTGACGGGTTGCTCTGGTGTGGAGTGCTCTGGCCGGGATTTGCCCTACAGCGCAGAAGATGCCCCATTAGGGCACAGGGCCCGCGAGGACATTACCCGGTAGAAAACCCTAAGCCCTAAAAAGAGTTGAGTCTGGGTGGGTCTAGGGTTAGCTGAGCTGGAGTGAGCGGCTCGCGGAGATCTACACCCGAGCGAGCGAATGCGATTGACACCGCTCAACCCCAAACCCTGAACCCGAAGGCAAAGGTCCCGGCCATGCAGATAAAGCCCAGGCTGGCACATCCGCAGTGGAAAGCGTTGCAACAGCAGAAGCAGCCGACCAAACCTTGATGCACGCGATTTTGGGTTTGGGTTTGGGGTCAGGGTTTTACTGCAAGACTTGGTTCCGGCAGGGATGGTGAAATGACAAAAAAGGCCGACATCTGGTGACTTTGGTCATGATCTGATCTGAGTTTGCCTCGCCAAAGCAAAGACCGTTACAAAGTACTGTGGACTGATGAGCTAAAGAGTAATTTCTCGCGCTTGGTGTCGTGAGATGATGCATGATTTGGACCGACTGGCCTTGGCTGTCCTGCTGGGCGCCAATGTAGCCGCAGAAGGGCACAAGCCTGCTTGGCAAAGTGGAAAACTAGAACGTCCTAGACCAGGAAAAGTGTCTACAATATCTTCCCATACAGGGTCGGACCTTCTCGCCTCAGCCGCCTCAATCCTTTACAGATCTACGTGGGAATTCCGCACCATCTCGCATGTCACTTGGATCGGCGACCAAAAGCTCGTTCCCCAGTCCGCCAAGTAGCAAGCCCAAGATGATGGAAACAGTCACGCCAGGGATCATGCCTTGCAGGCATTGCCATCGTGAGGGGCTTGAATTGACGCTCCTGTTGGGCTAGGGCCTGCATTCAAGCACATGTAGCCGCATGAGGTAGGATCCCCCCGCCAGTGCAGCAGTTGATCTGTACTCCCAGTAACCTTGCGCCAAGTAGCAACCAGCCTAGAGTTACAACCGGAGCTCGATATGTACTTACGCTTCCTTGGACCATCGATCCACCGCACATACTGAAACCATCACAGACTTGGCGTACGGAACCCTAGACCAGCTTTCTGCAAACCCGGTGGCGTAAAAGTAGCTTGGCAAGTACCGGGCCGCCCTTGACGTCCGTGACAGAGCGAATCCTTGGCACTTCTTGGCCCAGCCTTTTCTGCAATGGCTGCTCTGCTTCAAGATGCAAAGCCATCCGTGTAAATCCCTGCAAGGTATATCGCAGGGTGTCCCCTGCAAAGTCTGCTCTGCAACATACCCTCTTGCATTCACTCATTTCAAGGAAGAAACCTTTTCAGTGTGTTCCGGCGGCCAATAGGGCTAGAAGACCCTGTTTGATGTGTTTCGGTTATGTCCTAGCAGAATCCAAGCACGGCTAGTTTTCTCTTTCTGCTGGGCATTTTGTTGAGGGGAAGATTTACGCCACGTTCCGGAGCACAAGGGCTGCATTGACCTCTCCCATGGCACGCGCTCTGGATGAAGCTGGGAGGCTGTTCCAGGGCAGTCTCAATGGCCGCTGCATCGAACACATATTGCACCAACGCATTGACCACGACGTAGGTTGCTATGATCGCCTCAGGCACGCTACCAAGGGAAGTCTGTCGTTTGTGAAGCTCTAGCACCCGTCCCAGGGAGCGCCATGCCCCTTCCTCTTGTTCCAGGATCCCGTTTAGTTGAATACTGTTTGAATCTATTTGAGATTGATCCCTCGGTTAATAATTCATAGCTGAGAGGTCTTGGGCTCTGTGGTCTGTTCCGCCCAGGGCCCGTACCGAGAGGAACAGCACTCGGCGCTTCATCTCCCCTTTGCTGCGCGCATCTTCCGCCTCCGGTTGAGCAGGGCAGCGGGGGGATTGGCCCTCAAGTTTCGTAAAAGCGCTAACCTGAAGGCCGCATAGACCCCTTAGTAGGAACTATCCGTTCTCTCACTCTCTCTCTCTCTCTTTGTGCACACATCTGTGTACGCATCTGTGTACGCACTGGTATGCAATTGAGGAAATGAAGATTTACCTTCAGCTATTGCTGCTGTCAAGACTTCACTGGCCAGCAACGCCGCAATAAGCATTGCAGATCGCACCTCTGCCGTCGTGACACCCACCTGAGGTGGGGCCTTGCATGCGGGCTCTCAAAGAATGGCAAGTCCGGGTCTCTGGCTTCTGAGCTTCCGGGGCAGTGCTTAGACAATGGCATCTTGGAATCCGGTGATTGCAACTTGGTCCAACAACCACAGGAACGGCTGCCGCCTCAGGGAGAAGCTGCACGTCGCGAGCAGTCTGCCCCTGGATCATGGCTTCTGCCAGGCAAAGACCTGCAAACATCGCAGACTAGGTCGATCCCCTCCAATAATAACACTCCCAAGCTCCCCTTTTTCAACTAGCGATATGAGGCACATGTGGTATATCCCCATGAGTGTTTAAGATTAAAGTGATTACGGGGGTCCTGGTTAAGAATTATGTAGGGTTTGTTTTGCCTCGGGTTCGCAAAACAGGGTGCAGGACAGTTTGGTGCAGCTTCGCTGCACAACCTTGAATCGAACCCATGCCTGGGCCCTATGGAACCCATCTTGCTATTCAGGGCTTAGTTACATTTCGCCATAATGAGCACATATAGTAATTAATATGGGTCTCCCATTAGAGTAACTGAAATTAAAATCGTTACGAGCAACCTATGTTGTCCTGGTCATGTCCCGGGCTTGTAGGGTACTAAACCCTCCGGGCAAAGCCAGTTCTCATGACGAGGCACTATTCAAGAAGACTCGGCTTGGCTGCCTTCCTGCTCATGGGTACTTCTCAAGCCATATGCCTGTGCCTTTTGATTCCCCTTCTATCGTTCGTCACCACCAAACAACTGGAAAAAAAAGATGTGAGTTGCGCACCTAATGTGACATGTGTGACATCCATATGTAATTCATAATCTTCAGACAGAAGCTGAGCGCAACACCCAGGGACAAAAAAGGACCAACGAAAGGGAGCTGCCATGAATCGTTGACCACGGGCAGCGGAGGAGCCAAAGGTGGCGGATGCAAGACAGGGTATGCATTGGGGTTATGTACTATACTACTACACTGAAGTTGTATAAGGATAATGGAAATGGAAACTACTATATTATAATGGGGTATATGTTGGGGTTATCTACTATACTACTATATTGATGGGGCATATCTTGGAGTTACTTCGACATGTTTCAAATCGTAAAGAGATTGTTTTTTTTTTTTGTTTTTTTTTTCGCCAAGCCTGGACACATGTACACATGGTCTCTGGCTTAGACGTAGAAAAAAGCGGGCCTTTGTTGAAGAAAGTGTAAATGCCGGTCATCACAGAAGGCCCAATTACAGTAGCAAATTCGATCAATGTCAAGCAAAGGATGGCTTCTGTAAAGATCAGCAAACAAACACGTGCGCCAGCATGCACCCCACCCCCTCCTTTCCCGAATCAGCCCAATTACGGCGGATTACCCAGGTTATGTCCGAAGGAAAAGGTTGCTGCTTTTTGAATGATGCAATTTATGGGCCCTGCCTCTAGCCCCAGTTACCTACAGCTTAGTCGTAGTAGTTACTCCTTGATTTATTAGGTACAACCCATAAAGCTGTAGGTACCTGAGGTTACAGGTACGCCGTCGAGCTGAAATCTGAATGCTCTAGAGTCTACAGATATCACAAGACGATAGAAACAACGCAGGCTTCCTCAGAGTGAGGCTTCGCATGCAAACCCTCTCCTGCTGGATAGCACAGGCACGGCAGGGCGACAGGGCAGCAGACTCAGCAAACAACGCTCTGTTTGCCTTGTATGCACAGACAGAAGGTGCGTCGAAAACTGGAGTTGCAAGTCAGATGCCACTGGACAAGGTTTCGAGTTTGAACAGTTGAACATAGAGGATGGTGTATTATGCCATGACTGCAAACGAGGCGATCAGGGCCCTGTTGAGAGATCAAGGCATCTGACTACGCAGCAGCCTTGATCACAAGGCGTGAGACATTTGCGCGACTTCTAACCTCAATGCCGTTCTCTCCCGAATCCTGTCAGAGAAGCCTCTCGTGCAAGAACCTTATCTGGGATCCTGCTTTCAAACGCTGGGTGCCCATTCCTTGGAGTCCTTTGCGTATCCAGGATACCCTATGACGTACTGGTGGATTTATCCCAGGCAGTTTCTTGTAGCCGGCCCTCAGCTTGTGAGCAGTCGCCTCGGGGGATACACTTCATCCTACAGGATCCTGTCGCTGGCTTTTGCAATGCCAAACATAAAGCACCCGACCTATGATACCTTAATTCCTTCCTTCCCGAACCACTACGACTGCAGGAAATCAAGACATAATTGTAGGTTCTGCAGGGAGTGGGGAGGCCAATGTTAGCTACTCATACATCCGAAGCTGCGTTATCTCTGTGCCCGAGTTTAAGGCAATGGCGCCTTTTACCGTTTCAACCATCAAACGTGATGTTTCGGGTTGTTTGGCAGGCTCGGACTTCTAATGGAGGACTTGACTGGGAATAGGTCTAAACGGCAGCATCTAACGCAACCTCAAGAATCTGCAGTGAAGACTGCAAGGATAATGTTGCTGCCTCCTTCATGTCCAGGATAGCAGAACAACAGCACTAGCAGCGGCGTTGTTTAAAAAATGTGGTTGTAACTACAGACTTGGTCAAGCAGATGGAGTACAATCTCACAGAACACTAGTAGCCAGTGCCGCTGCGTGTGGAGGGTGAAGCCGGAGTCTTTATGCATGCATGGGCGGAGACAAAGAATGCTCAAATGATTACCTGGGCATGTGCTGATATGTTTCCCCACAGAAAGTCCGTTCGCCTTTTTGACCAGGATCAGGGGCATCTATCATACTATCCCAGAACAAAATCTATGGACCAAATCTAAACCCTGGCCCGCACACACATCTACTTTTACAGGTTGCGGCGGCCAAGCCAATGTGAAGCATATGTTCAATTGCTGTTGTTTTGCGGCAGGTTTCAGATGTCACGTTACCGTCAAGTTGGCACACGCGTCTAATGAATACACTACGTCTATTAGCCTCGGTTACACACTAGCAAATCAAAATCTAAGTTTCCAACGGATTGTGGATCGCCCGCTGCCGCATTTGGAACCTAATCTCTATGGAAGCTGTGCTGAAGCAAGCTGCTGCCATGTTGTAGTCATTCTGGCAAAAGCAGGAAGAGTTTTAGGGTAGTTCAACTTAAGCAGCTTTCAGCATTTTGCTTGACCAAGCCGTGGACACATGAACTTTCATTGAGGGCTGCGAGACATGCTATGAGCGTAAATAGGAGCCCTACACTTCTATAGACGCCCTTAAGTAGATAGGATTATGGGGGTTATATAGGGATAATGGAAAAGAAAATGGAAATTACTACTTAGGTTTTAGGGAAGTCTTGGCAGAATAGAGCAATGCTTTGGCTCCCCCCAGTTGCTTTTGCAGTGTCAGGGATCCTTGCCCTGCCTTCAATAAGTCTCCCCAAACGCAGTCATTGTAGCGCCCCAAGTAGATCTCCCCAAATGCAGTCATTGTAGCGCCAAGTTTCTGGACCTAATGTAGTTTTGAGCTATAAGTAGACTACAGTCGAAGCTCATCCGTTGACTGCCGTTTCTGCAGCATTCTCGTACCCCTAGCAGAAGCTAAAGCCCAAAGCCAAACCCCCTAAAAATACTCTTAAACCCTAAAACCCTTACACTTCTCAACCCTTTTCAGGGAATCCCCAAACTTGTCCCTTACTGAGGGCCGGGCAGAAGCCTTTGCGCCGTGCTTGTAGCCTCCCCCAGGCGTAAGTCCTCCTTCGCGATGCCGAAGCGCATCCTCTGTCAGGCTGCATCTCAAAGAGAGCTTTGCGGCAGGTTGCGCCTTGTCCGCGCCCTTTCAGATGAGTGCTTCTGGGCTTGTTGCACGCAATATACACACATGTGTAAATAAACGGTTATGTCGGTAGTTTACATATGTAACGGTCTGTATGTATATGTATAAAAATATATGTGCGTGTGAATGACTGCTTGGATTTCAGGCTCGGGGGGTGAGCACAATCTTGGTTGCAGGATGTTGGAGTGGCGAAGGTGTAGCAGCGGATGGGGAAGGAGGTCTTGGAGGGGTGGAGCAGGGAGGGGCGGATCGCGAGCTGTGGCAGGTAGCATGCATCCTCACCAAGTACACCATCAACTGCGAAGCGTCAGGGAACTGTCACAAGAAATCCACGCAGCAAATGCGTGGCCCTTGAGCAGGTACCAGTCCTGAAGCCATGCTCGCACTGCCGTTTCGCATCATCCACTGCGTCCTTGGCACCACCCCGGTTGAAGCAGGTAAAGGTGGAGCACGGAAAAGGGAACCCGGGGGCTGACGTCCTGACTGCTGAAGCCGAGTGTTCGCTCTAGGTTGGAGTTTCTAAGTGTGGGGAAAGCAAGGCTGCCCTATACGGCAACAGTTCAGCCAGCAGTGGCGTTAAGCTGTCTGCAGTGGAGCTTACTGCTGCGTATATGATGGCCGCAATGCATGATCCAGGGACCTTGTCAAAATGGGACTAACTTCTGATGAGCTCGAAGTTCCATGCGAGCGCTGCAATCGCAATATTTTTTTTGCTTGGACACTTGCACTGACACTTGCGCGCGAGATTCCTCAGCTGCTTGGAAACAACATCAGAAAATGGCAGGGGCTCTTAGCGCTTGCTCGCACTGGCCATGTCCATCGCAGCCAAAGCAAACCAAGCTGCCAACAGTGGTTACGGCACAGGTATGATAGATACCAACAGCCAGTCCAAGCACTGGACCCAAGTCAGGTGGCACCTCACACTCGCCACGTTCAGAATCTCTTCCGAAACATACAACCTGGCCATTGGTGCGCACTGCACAGGTGTGATCACGACCCGCAGATACCGATATAACCCTGCCCAAGTCTGAAGGCACGTCACACTGGCCATGATCGTTGGCCCCATAGCACACCAATCTACCATCCAGCTGCACCGCGCAGGTGTGAAAGGATCCTGCAGAAACCGAGGCAAAGCCGGCACCTGCAGGCGTGAGGCACTGACCATCAGAGTTTGACCCAAAGCAAATCAACTGTCCCGATTGCTTGACAGCGCAGGTATGGCTGCGGCCAGCTGACACGAACGCCACGTTTCTCATGAGCTGAGTTGGGACATCACATTGCCGGTGCGCATTAGATCCGAAGCAAACCAAACGACCTTCTTCGGTGATTGTGCATGTATGCAAGAATCCAGCTGAGACGTCCGTCACTGGACCAATTCCTGCTGGAACATCGCACTGGCCATTTCTGTTGTCCCCGAAACACACCAGCTCTGAAGCTTCGTTCACGATGCAGGTGTGGCTTCGGCCGGCGGAAGCAGCTCTCACGCGCCCCAGGTGAGCCACATTGCACTGGCCGTAACTGTTGGACCCCCAACAAAGAAGTTGGCCCCCTCGCGTGAGCGCACACGTGTGGCTGAACTGAGTAGAAATGGAGCAGTGTTGGGCCAGGGGAGTGAGGCTGCGCACGAGCCTCCCAAGCACATCCACCATGGGAAGTCATTGCATTTCGCGCCCTGCTAGAGTCTTGGTGCCACCATTATGCTGACTTGCCACGCGCACAGCGGCCTGAACAGAAAGTCTTGACTTGGGATTGCCGCTCTTGTGCATGGCTTGGATTCTTGGATGTATGGAGTCCACTTATGCTTTTGGACAGCTGGAACAGATTGTTCGCTTGCCTAGGGCCTAAGGGCATTATACTTTCACCTCTTCCGGCATTGCTGATCTGTGCTTTTCCGGCATATGACAGCTCATACCCGTTCAGCAGACCTGTCTTGATCCTGAGGGGATGGGATACAACTCAAGACCAATAAAGATGTCCAGAGTCACATAAACGCAGGGAACCCTTAAACCCAAAACCTGGAGCACACAGCCTTTACGAAAAGCAAGAAGATAAGAAGGCGCGTCCTGATAGGCGCCTGGACTTTGCCATCTCCTGTCAAGATGGAGCCAGGAAGCACTGACCCAAGATCTGTTTTTCCGTTCCACGTATAGCCAAAACGATGTTCATCGCATGGGGCCTGGGAGAATGCGGCCGCTATAGGCTGTTTTAGCCTTGCAGCGGCAGACTCTAGCCCCTCCGGCTACCCTGCTGGGCTTTACATGCACTTAATTGATTCCACATGCTGGAATCTGGGCAGAACATGTTGCAGCGGAAATCTCAGACAATTCGATGAGGAGCTCAGAAGATCGTGATATGGGTTGTTCTCAAACTTATGGGCCCCTTCTGACTATAGATTAAGTCTCTTACGGCACCTAATATTTAGGGGTAACAAAACGGAACCGTAATTTTGAGAAGTACCCATATGTTTCGGCTTTTCGGGCCTGTGCCCCTCTTGTATGCTAGACAGCATTCAAAGAGTTGGCCTCCGAGCCCTCCAGCTGCAAGGTGCGGGACCACACGATATACGCCTCGGAATGCTACGTAGTACACTACATTCACTACATATGGGCTGTCTTCTACACTCCTCAAAGTGGCATATGAAGGGGAGTATATGGGGGAGTATAGAAAGGGGGGTTACTAAGGGGGACACTAGAAGTTCAGACTATAGCTCAAATGAAATTCTCAAAAGAGGGGCTACTTGGTGACACTATAAGCATAAATGAGGGCCAAAAGGGACCTGAAGGGTGCTCAAGTTTTGTGTTTAGAGAGACTCGCACGTGAATTGTCTCTCTTCCTTGCTGCAAACATGAGAGAACTGAAGGAACCAATGAGAAGCTATGTTTGCAGCAATCAGAAGTCTCACCAAGATGCTTCCCAAAACGAAGTCTACAGCACTCCAGAACACATTAAAATGCCAGAGTCTTGAGTATTGGGGCACACGAGAAGAACCTGGACCCCCCGCCCTGCCCCATGTGTTACAAAGCAGGTTGCGAAAGGGTGCAGTGTACGACAAGGTGCAAAGTAGATGTCCAGCGCAGTGGCCATCAACATAGGCGGTATGGCATACGCCACCTGAAGGAGCTACATTGCAGTATCTCCCACCTCCACAAATCCAGAACCATGGGTTGGTTTCCCGTTTACGGTGGAGAGCGCCAATGTCATGAGACTGGGATGGCTAGCAACTGCAGGACGGAAATGGAGTCAACATGTCTCTGCCGACTTTCAGAACTTCTTCGGGCCCAAGAATTTGCCAACCCGAGCTGACAGGCACAAAGACTGTGCTTATCTCTCGCAACGCAAAATCAGGACCTTTCGAAATACTAGGCCAAACATGTCCTGGCCCGGCCCTGAGTCGCAAACCTTCTCTGCATGGTCTATGTCGCTCACAATGGCAGCTGGGACAAGAATGAAGAGCCCCGCAAGCCTTGGAGACCGGTTTGCACTTGCGGCTTGCTGAGCCAGAGCTACTTCCGCTGGGATGTAAGAACAGAGCTGAAGCACTAAGTCCTGGTCATTTGCCTGGAAACCCTGCTCATGCCAAAGTTCCTCTTGTATTCTGTCTGCCTCCTAGGAACATGTTGAAATCTCATTCTGCTTAGCCCGTGTTCAACAGCGCCCACTTTAAAACCATCCTCAGAGATCGTTGCTGCAGTCGAGATGCTCAAGAACCACAAGCATCCATGTGAATAAAAAGGCCATCCTCCGCGTAGGGGTGCCGTGAGGGAACTAGCCGGAGGAAGGCCCAGCCACTGTGATTGTAACTGTAGCAGATGACAGCAAAAAGAAAAAACGTGCTGCTCAAACGCGATGATCAAGTCTGGACATGCGAGCCCTTAAAACCCTCCAAGCAAGCGGGAAATCAGTCAACCAAGCGGCATTCACTATGAGAAGGTTTGCAGGTTGAACGGCTGGTGCCCAACGACGCTACCAAACAAAACCAAAGACACTGCACAGAACCAAGGGGGACACTGTGGTAGATGATCTTTGCAAGTTTCTCCCACATCATCCGCTCCAAGGAAAGACAGACCCAAGAAATGGCCTGCCTGAAGCCCCTTCACGAACTGCCTACAACCTATAGCTTTCATCCTTTGCAGGCATAATCCTGGAAATCCACAACACAAGCCGAGCAAAACATTGAGCAGGTCCGGAGGCCAGAACGGCTGCGCCCCGTAGCGCCTGGCTCACGCGAAATTTCCGGCTGCTCAGATTGCAGGAGTGCGTGCCAGAGCTGAGCGTCCCATCTTGCTGAGGTCCTGCTACAACTCCGTTTAATCTTCCTGGCGCCCTGAAAGCCCAACTCCCAAACTCAACAGAAAGAGCAGTTGGCATCAACCCACCGAGCCTAGGCAGAGGCATATGGCGGCAACAAACTCGAGAGAAGATGCCAACCTTTGTGCCAGCGGCTTGTGCTGCAAACTGTTGTATGAATTAAATCAAGGTTCTTGACATGTCTGTGGGCCTTGTTCCTGCATCGGAGTCCGGCAGTCAAGCCGGAACCTGCAGAAACGTCGCATCGGAGTGCGGTTCCGCCTTGTGCAGCAGAATGCCGCGTAATTTCTCTTCTCAAAGATAAAGTGCGCACAAGACTGAAGAAGTTCAATGTTCTTGCGCTCTTTGGCTGCCTTTCTTCAGATCTTGAATTTGACTCGCCTAGTCAGTTCATAAGGGCTCTGATTGTTTTCAGAAGAAAACGTCTTTTCAACTCATAAACCAGCCCTACGAAGCCTTGTTGCATGAAGACTGGTGAGATCTTCGCTCACAGCCCACGGCCCCTTTCAAGAAGTGCTAGGGGTCATATACGAATGACAAGGACCACATGGAACATCTACATCTATATATAAATTTATATGCACACATATGTATGTCTACGTATATTCACGCATGCATATAGAGGGATGTCTGGGGTATAGGATCCAGGTCTTGGTCCAGATCAAGCCTGGCATCCTGGGATCTCACATCAAAAGTAACATCCTTCCATGTCCCTGACCTGAGGCCCTACTCAGACATGGAAGCAACCCAGACGGTTTCCTTCTTTGGATACTTCGAAGGACGGACCAGGAAAATCAGAAACTCCAGCTCAAACCTCTTATGCATCCGGGCCTCTGTAGATCGCCAGGCTATGTGAATCAGCAGCACTGAAGAATCACAACGGCTAATTAAAGCCCTACCTACTATCACTATCGTTAGTGTATGGACCCCCATAAAGTCCCAAACCCGAAACCCTAAACCCAAAACCCTAAATAGTAGCTTCCAAGTTCTTTTCCATTCTCCCTATATACCCCGTATATTATACCCGCTATAGAACCCTTGTGCTGTCAAGAGGCCATGCGGAGACCCGCAGGATCAGCGAGAGCCCCTTGGAGGACGCAGCGGCGGCATGGAGGCCAGCCATGAGGAGATCAACCGCCTAAAACCAAGGGGTTATATAGGGGTTTCCTCAAATTAGGGGTATCTTTTTGGGGGCCCCTATAACAAGGACTATAGTATTTTGGGGTCTATATTGGGGTCCCCCTATTTTGGGAAACTACCATATAGGGTTTAGGGTTGAGGGTGTAGGGTTTAGACACGCGCAAAGCATAAGCAGGCACGGCAAAGACTAGGGTTTAGGGTTCAGGGTTTAGGGTTAGTAGGGAATAAGGGAATACATTACATAGGGATTATGTGGATGATATGGGGGTTATGATTCCTTCTTCCCTAACCACCAGCAAGTAAAGGGGGCACGGCAAAGAGGTTGGCATGAACCACGGCGCATCGCATTTTTGCTTGATTTAATTTGCTTGTTGAGGGTCTTATGCACAGGTTTCACGGAGCGTGGCCTATCATTAGGTGTGGGGTCTGTACACCTGTGTGTATGCCATGAGCATACAACCCCTTCCTTCTGCAAAACGGCCCTGTTGTCTCTGGTGTCAGGTATGCATGTGCATACAAGTTCAAGAGCAGCAAGCCTATCTGAGGATTTCGGGTGATTTTCACGAAGCGCTTCGTGTTTCAGCTTCGTGGAGGTCTTGAGGTGAGGCAGTCTCGAAAGTTCTATACCAGGTTTACCCAGACTCTTTGTCGATACATGGCCAGAGCCACCCTTCGGCTTTCTCCGTCCCCCCCTGAGGTGCAAGGCATGCCGTGCTCATCAAGTATCAAGATTAAGCAATTCTAACGCGACCCCCGGCCATGTCGCATGCCCTTTGACGTCCTCAATCCGAATACAGTTTTCATACGCATTCTCACCCTGCACAGGCCCTTGAAATTCTTGCGGTCGGACAGCGGAAGACAAACAGAACTCAGTCCGCCCGCCTACTCGACCCATCCAACGCAACACATGCAGTCCTTGTCCCTCATCTTGGGTCAATTCAATGAACCAAGTTTGTCAAGCTCATCCCTTCTCATGCATAGACTGTTGCTTAATGTTTATAAGGCTCCCTTGCGAGTTCGGTGTGCGGAGCGTGCTGCAGCTCCAGAAGCCAAGGCACGGCAATGACGAACATCGCACGTCTGAGATCGAGGACGATGCCTTGCAATTTTATGGTCCCCCTTAAGTAGATCGAATATGGAGTATATGGGGATCTTGTTATAATATGCCCAAAGCCATATTTGATCTACTTAAGGGGGACTATATGGTTTGGGCATCTGCAGTTTCGCGTTGCTCTTGTTCAGCTTGGGTAACTACTATCACCTGTCAACTTCAGGTCATCTGCCGGAGCTTATGGAGGTTAGCGACAGACTTAAACATACTCTGAAGTGGCTTACGGCATTAAATATTCTGAGTGAATGCAACCTCGGCTTCCACAGTAAACATGTCAATGTAACCCCTTCGCAGATGTTAATTACAGTAGGAGGTTCTGTATTCAGAAATTCGGACCCTAAATCCGCTCCTCCCCCAAACACATATGGTCATTTCCAGAAAGAAAAGTCCCGGCTATATGTCCAAGAACAGTGCAATTCCTCTTGCATGTACTCTTGACAAACGGCCCTTGAGTCTCGGAAACCCGGATGTTGAGCATATTCCAACCCAAGGCGCAGCATCGTGTGGCAGGCTCTGCCAGAGTTCCTGAAATCCACACTCATGGGCTCTTCCGAGACAGCAAGCGAGGTGAAGCAACAAGCCAATCTGTGTTTTTTGCAGAAGGGCTCCACAGCCTTCGTCCCACAAGAGCAGCGTAAAATGTCTTGGCACATGGATGCTAGGTGCCGTGCCTCTTTGCAACTGTCAAGGATATGGTGAATTCATGTACTTGCCTTAGACTTGAGGATGAGCTGTGAGACCAGCAAACAGGGTGAGACAACGGTTGACACACCAGAGGTGATCCCCGGTGTAGGGCAAGTTTGCATGCCATCTGCAAACAAGGCGCCACTGTACCGCCGCGGCGCAGTAGAAGTCATGGCTGCGAGGCGGGAAATCCGCAAGGTGTCAGAAGTTGTCTGTCTACTCCCCTTTAACCCCATTGTGTTTCCTACAGTATTCCCTTATGATGCCTGAAGAGCCCTTTCATTCAAGAGCTTTGCCTCCCTAGTGTCATTGCTGCCTGGATGGCAGGCTGCAAACGTCAACACCACAATGTTGGCGAAGAAGTGGGTTCCAAATGACTCTACAGCGAGGCATGCCGGCGCAAAGGACCCTCCCGACCAAGCGAGGGCAAAAACCTTTGTTTGGGAGTTGCGTGTTAAAATTACTGATATTGAATCCGTGATGAGAGGGTTGGCGGCTCCCTTTCCAACCCCCACATGTCCTTTGGTAAGCTCGCATCTGAGTGGTGTTTGCGGTGGCCGAACCAAGTAAGGTTGTAGTATCCCCTCTTTTTTTAACGGTGCTCTGAATTAAGTGCCATACTAATAGTAACTCATTCCAGACACTACTTGGAGGGTCAGGGGGGCTTGGTGGTAAGTACCAAGGAGCCGGCCAGCGCTGCTTGCGCTTCGCTGCTTCCCTCGATCCACCGCGCAGCCTCCCCAGAACTTTGGGGAACTTTGGGTTTTTAGGGTATAGGGTTTATACGGTTCATAGGGTTTATGGGGTGTATATGGTTTAGGGCTTCAAAAGGTTTACCTGGAGCCCTAAAACAATGACCTGTTTGAGGGTGTGGGCCCGTTATTTCAAACTACCTTTGGCGTACAGGTTCCTTGTTGGTTTTGTTTTTGGCAAGGACTTTAGCCCTTGGCTGAAAACAGGGGGCCCGAATAAAGACCCCAAGATATTAGGTAGCCCCAAAAGGGGACCCCCAATTTATGTAATGCCCTTTACAGTTTACAGCTGCGAGTAATATACAACAGAAGCCAGCAGCTACCGGTACCCTATTTCAGCGAAGCTTTATACTGTACTTGTTGCAGTTCAGGGTGCACAAGGGCAACTTGACCCTACACCCTAAACCCTAAACCCCCTAAGAATTGAGTCTTCCAGAATATCATTCCCCTGGATTGCACGTGGGACAATGTCATGATTGAGTTATGACGAAGGATTTTGTGACAGACACAGGCGCATGAAATAAGTATAGGTCTGAGGGAGGTAAGGAAGCGGGAAGGCTGCGAATCTCATGGGCAAAAGACCGGAGCAACGCACACAAGCTCTCCTTCTAAGACACAAACTGTCTGCGGTCCCCAGACAGGGCTGCAATCAACTGTGTTCTTCTTAGTTCTAAAGGGCTCATATAAGCTACAGTCTAAACTCCTAATATCCCCTTTAATAAGTCCCATAGTAAACCCCTACATAACCCCCTTTAAGGAGTTTAGACCCTAAACCCTAAACTCTATTCCCTAAACCCTATATAACCCTAAGCCCTAACCTATAATAATCCCCTATATAACCGCCCTTTAGGGAGTTTAGACTACAGTTCATATTACAGGTGGCCTTGCCGCTGCTGCTGGCGCCTGGGATGGGATTCCTCAGCGTGGGCAAAGCTGAAATGGGGACTACAGGAGCTATAGTCTAAACTCCTTAAAGGGAGGTTATATAGGGATCATATAGGGGACTACCATAAGGGTTATTAAGGGGGATACTAGGAGTTTCACAGGAAGTCTCGCAGCTTTCGGTGTGTTTGAGGTGCAAGTCCAACCCAGCCTAACGACCCATGTTGTTACAGGTTCAGCACTCAA